TTTTGTCTTTGTATACCGTCTGTAGTCATTTGTCAAACACATGAATTAACATAACCGCCTGTGGATGAGATCATGTTCGAGTATGCTAAACAGTGACGTCATTACAACTTCCCCTCCGGTCCTTGATGTCGGCCAAAATGGAAAATCATGCCTAAATAACATGATCCTACCATAAACGTTTATGTTGGTTTATGCCGCGAAAAATACCTTTATATGTATAACTGTATATAAGCATTTTTTGGCGTGCTCCCGTTGATAAACAGTGACACAGAAACCGTGACATGTCAAATGCCCCCACTACCATGTCTCGGTTTCTAAAAAATTCTTCGCAAAAATGAACCGGTTTACGTCAATCGTCAACGTTTTAGATAAACGAGGTTATGTTATGTGTATTTAAAAGGTATTTAACAATAAACAAACTGTGGAAAATCTAAAATTGAGGAAGACAGACAATTTTTCTTTTAAATAACAAATTCAAATAGAATTTAAAGACAGTTCAACGAAAACTATTATACATAAAATAAAAATATGAACGCACAAAATAAAACGCAACTCTGGCAACTACCAAAAATTCCAAAACAAAACGGTATTACAAAATGCTATGAACGTCAACTGTCACTATCAACCGTTTGTTCACCACCTCAAGAGGCCGGGAACAGATTCATCACGGCGGTAGCAAATAATGACGTCAGTGAATGACGTCATTACACTTCCCCTTGAGCGGTCCACGTCGCGAAAATGATGCGGGTAATACCGTTTGATCACCGGGAGTTCGCGAAAAATTGGTATATGTATCATTCACCCGGTCAATGACAAGAGGTCCACTCACAAAGCATGTATCTTCTAGAGACCCCACGCCAATGTTAAACTTGTGTTTGGAGCTGGAACTAAAATTACAATTGACAGATGGCGGTAAATTCAAATTGTAATTTTTAGGAGTAGGTAGTAGTTTTAAATTAAATTTTAAATGATTTCCACATAAATTATTTTATAAAATAAAGTATGGAACTAGTAAGTTCGAAACTTTTGTTTTACAAAATAATTTAGGTCGATTATACCAAATTTGAAGAATTAATTTGTTATAAGGGGTTTAATGTGGAGAGTTGGTTCTGCATATTTTTATTAAATAAAGATATATCTATAAATAATAAAATAGAACATTCTTAAAATATGTTTATTAATAACTTAAATATTATTAGATAAAAATAAATACAAATAATAATACATATTTAACGAATACTTGCTTGGAGCAAATAGATATATAATCTCAAATCTTTAAAATACCTATCAATAATTTAAATGTGAAGTAGAGACTAGGATATTACATTTTATTAACACTAAAGTTATATATTTTATAAATGTCTTTTAACTGAGGACAAATGTAATATAGGTATTGTATTAAAAGGTGAATCCTTTTAACTATTCATTCAATGATAAATAGGTATTTTCCTTCCAAATACAGATGGTGGTATTACTCTCTTATGTGAAAAATGATTTCGGAATCTAGTCCAGTGATAAATTGATTATCAATTAGTTGTTGTCCCCGTTTGTCTTTTTATGATGCAGATGCATGTTGAATATATGGTGAATCAATGAAGTTTTTCTCGAAGTTTTCAACGTAGCACCAAAATTATTGCAAAACACATTAGGAAATAAAAAAGCGAAACATCACAATTTTGCAAATAACTAAGACGAAACTATAAACAGAAACCAAAAGCCAAAGCCAACAAAAAATCACTAAAATCGGACGGAAAAATGAAATTAACCAAGAACATAAATAAATACACGTCACATCTTTGGAGTCTTTGGTTAAGTTTTTCTCCCATAAGGCTTAAAAATGGAGTAAGAAATCATAATTTCACCAGTAGCCCCATCTAGAGTTTGGAGCAAATAGCATAAAAAATGTCAGTTGTCGGTTTTGACCTTGGTCATTCACGTGGAACCTCTATGTGCTTTGTGGGTCCACTGCACAAAGCATGTATCTTCTAGAGACCCCACGCCAATGTTAAACTTTTAAACCAAATTAGCGCCACCTTGTGTTTGGAGCTGGAACTAAAATGACAATTGACAGATGGCGGTAAATTCAAATTGTAATTTTTAGGAGTAGGTAGTAGTTTTAAATTAAATTTTAAATGATTTCCACATAAATTATTTTATAAAATAAAGTATGGAACTAGTAAGTTCGAAACTTTTATTTTACAAAATAATTTAGGTCGATTATACCAAATTTGAAGAATTAATTTGTTATAAGGGGACTAATGTGGAGAGTTGGTTCTGCATATTTTTATTAAATAAATATAAGATATATCAATAAATAATAAAATAGAACATTCTTAAAATATGTTTATTAATAACTTAAATAAATATTATTAGATAAAAATAAATACAAATAATAATACATATTTAAGGAATACTTACTTGGAGCAAATAGATATATAATCTCAAATCTTTAAAATACCTATCAATAATTTAAATGTGAAGTAGAGACTAGGATATTACATTTTATTAACACTAAAGTTATATATTTTATAAATGTCTTTTTAACTGAGGACAAATGTAATATAGGTATTGTATTAAAAGGTGAATCCTTTTAACTATTCATTCAATGATAAATAGGTATTTTCCTTCCAAATACAGATGGTGGTATTACTCTCTTATGTGAAAAATGATTTCGGAATCTAATCCAGTGATAAATTGATTATCAATTAGTTATTGTCCCCGTTTATCTTTTTATGATGCAGATGCATGGTGAATAGGTATATGGTGAATCAATGAAGTTTTTCTCGAAGTTTTCAACGTAGCACCAAAATTATTGCAAAACACAGTAGGAAATAAAAAAGCGAAACATCACAATTTTGCAAATAACGAAGACGAAACTATAAACAGAAACCAAAAGCCAAAGCCAACAAAAAATCACTAAAATCAGACGGAAAAATGAAACTAACCAAGAACATAAATATATACACGTCACATCTTTGGAGTCTTTGGTTAAGTTTTTCTCCCATAAGACTTAAAAATGGAGTAAGAAATCATAATTTCACCAGTAGCCCCATCTAGAGTTTGGAGCAAATAGCATAAAAAATGTCAGTTGTCGGTTTTGACCTTGGTCATTCACGTGGAACCTCTATGTGCTTTGTGGTCCACTGGGTTGCCATAGGCGAGTTCGGATAGTCAGGGGCTGGAGTGGGACAAATTTTAGGGTGCTTTTAAATGACATTTAAGCGTGTTAAACTGTCACTAATCGGACTAAACAAACCGATAAAAGGGTCGTTTGGAGTTAAAAGTGTTAAAGGAACTTGGCAGACCGAACGCAATGCATATATAAACTGTCAGTTCCCACTGGCAGCATTTTGACAGGTTGTTGTAATGCCTATTGCGCTAGTTCCACATACTTTAATTTTCTTTTACTATACGGAGAATGGTCGCATTGCGCAGCTTTCTGAGTGCCTTTTAAAAGGAGATAGAAAACTCCGCCATTTTGAACCCTTATTACGTGTTGCCTACATCTTGGCGCAATATTTTTAATAGGTGCGTTTTAATCATCCACTTCTGCTTCGGAATTGTCGGTTTTCTTATTTTAATCTGACAGGTTAAAACGACTAAACCGACAATTCCGGAAGCAGAAGCGGATGATTAAAACGCACCTGATATTTTGCTTGCTGCTGTCAGTGTCAGTGAATATTATTTTTGAAGTCACAGTTTATTGCTAAAGAATCAGCTCACTCGGACCAGTTGAAAGTTCCAAAATAACATCCACTCCAGGGATACAAATACAGGATACGCTGTTTTATTATAGGCGGTTGTCATATATTGTAATATCCGAGTTGCACAGTGTATAAACTGAAACATTGAGATCAAAAGTGCCGACGCAGAGTGAGCGATCTGATTCTTTAGCTGTAAACTGTGTCACAGGGTTCAAAATGGCCGCGCCCTATGTTGGGCGTGTTGGACCTCTCTCTTGCCACGTATAGTAATGAAAATCAAAGTATGTGGCTAGTTCAGTGATGATGTAATTATGGTTCCACTGACAATTAAAGTGACAGTAGATTTTTTGAATGCGTTTTGTTTATTTTATTTACCTAAATTATATCGTTTTTTCACTTTTATAAATATATTCCTAAAGTATCAAGTAGATAACATGCGTCAAATATACAATCGTTTAGTTACCAATTACATACCTTTAAACTATTTTTTAGGACCTGTAAACAATATTTAGAAATAACTAAAAACAGTAAAAACGTATATGTCAAATTTATTGATGTTTTTGTTAAAAGTTTGGTTAGAATTAAATGTCAGTAGAACCAAAATGACATCACACTGAACTAGCGCATTACTGTGCCAGAGAGCCGCGATCAGCCAGAGCGCAATGATGTACCAAAAAAATAGAGATTAACATGTAAGAAAATAAAAATATTAAAATTAAATATTTATAGTTATGTAATTATAAAATAATGTGTTTTTATGAAATATAACTGGGTGTTGATTATCCTCAATAAAGAATTTTTCTTCTTCACTTTTTAAACTGCGCATGCACGAAAATTGCTTTGAAGCTAAACTAACCTGTTGATAATCGATTTTTGACATCTGTCGACAAGTTAGGAAAGCCAATTAGGCATTCCAACGACCTGTCAAACAATAGGTGCCAGTGGGAAATTCTTGTATATCTAAGGGGGTAGCAACATAATCTTGCAACTTGGACGCTATTTTTATTCGAAGTAGTAGTCGCCAAGCCTGCCAATTTATGAAGAAATGTATAGGTGGGTTTTTTAAATATTATTTTTATTGTGTTTGGCATAAAATATTTAAATGTTATCCATTATTCATGATTTTACGTAAAGTAGAATACACCGTATGTCGCCACCCTTAGATATACCAAACCTTCCCACTGGCATTTCATTTGTTTGGAATGCCTAATTTCGGAGCCATATTCGAGCATGCGCAGTAAAAATAGGGGTCCCATCTTCAACTGATAGCTAAGATAATTTGTTGTTTTTGTACAGGTTGATGGAGGATAGTTCGTTTACTTTCCGCGGCATCCCGTTCGCCAGACCACCGATAGGCGAGCTACGCTTCCGATTCGCTCAACCGCTCGATCGCATACAGTACTGTTGGAACGGTACGTTTATCGCCCACAACGATTCCGGTCTCTGTCTTCAAATCCTCGCCAACGGTACGACCGTCGGCAAAGAGGACTGCCTCACTCTGGACGTCGTTACGCCGTACGTCAGGTACGATAATCCGTTACCAGTGATCGTACTTATAGGTAGCGAGACCCTTATGGGCGGTTCCCCAGGAAAATTGAGACCGTCGGCCAGGTACGCCCGATCCAGAGACGTGGTCTTTGTCCGGCCGAATTTCAGACTCGGCGCTTTGGGTTTTCTGTCTTTGGACATCCTAGCCGAATCCGATTATCCGAAAACGTCGGGCAATTACGGCTTGAGCGATATTGTGGCGGCGTTGAATTGGGTGCAACTCAACATCGAGCATTTTGGCGGCAACAAGCACGCCGTAACGGTGTTCGGACATCGCGCCGGTGCCACTCTGGTCACCGCCCTGACGGCCATCCAAGGCGCCGGTAAATATTTCGTCAGGGCTTGGGCGTCGTCCGGCAGCGCCGTTTACCCTAAAAGGGACGCGAGGCAACAACAGAGCGATAACAGGAGTTTTTTGGATGCGGTACGTTGCGAGAATGTCGAATGTTTGAGAGACATGGACGCGGAGATGTTAGTGAAAGCTGTCGAGGATACTTGGAGGAAGCCGTTTCTCGATTTGCCTTTGGCCGATGAGAAGCCTCAAGATAGGCATCAGTGGTTGGTAAGATTTATATACATACTTATTTATATACACTTGACTATCATGTCTAGTTATTACAGGCTTTTTTCTTTTATTTTGTACAATCACCACTGTACATGTTTAGAGGATACATTTTCTGCACACATCTTACTGGAAACATACTCTTTAAAATGCGAAATTTGCACTTTTTCTCAAATATCTCGAATTTTATCCTGTCTCCATTTTTGATGACGCTAATTTCATTGACGAACGTCATTCTACTCTTGATGCTTCTTTTAGCACAACTGAAATTTATCAGGTTTTAAATAAATGTAAGAACCATAAATCTTCAGGAACTGGATACAATCAGTGAATTTTATAAAAATCTTCCACACAACTGGATGTTGTACTTAAATTCTCTTTTTACTTTCCTATCTGTATACAGATATAAGGAAAGTATAGGAATCATGATTTTTTTCGACCTCGAGTTTTCGACGGATTTTTACGTTTTGAGGTCCCCTGAATCCGTTTTGACTATTTTCGCGATGATGTCTGTGTGTGTGTGTGTGTCTGTGTGTGTGTCTGTGTGTGTGTCTGTGTGTGTGTGTGTGTGTGTGTGTGTGTGTGTGTGTGTGTGTGTGTGTGTGTGTCTGTATAACGCATAACTCATGAACCGATACACAGAAAAACACCAAATTTTAAACTTAAGCTTTGTTTCAGCGTCCAATGAGCTGATTAGATTTTGGGCAGTGTCGGAACATCTGGGGGGGTACTTTATAGGTGGTCATTTTTATATTTTATGGAATATATCTGTTATTTACGTTTGGAGAAGAAAATTCTTCAAATAAAAGTTACTTCTAATATAATTATCTATAATTTTTGTTTTATGCAAAATTTTCCTAAAATGGTCCGTATTCGAGAAATTTGACAAAATGTAAAAAACATAATTTTTTATAAAAATTGTTCAAATAAAAGTTGTTTGTAATATAATTCTCTATAATTTTTGTCCTATACATAATTTCTCTAAAATGGACCGTATTCGAGATATTTGAGAAAATGTGTAAATTTCGAAATTTGAAGAAAACTCAAAAACGGATAAAGGAAAAAACATTAAATTTTAAACTTAAGGTTTATTTCGGCCTGACGTGAAATGATTAGATTTTGGACAAAGTCGGAACATCTGGGGGGGTACTTTATGGGAGGCCGTTTTTATATTTTATGGAATATATCTGTTATTTATGTTTGGAGAAGAAAATTGTTCAAATAAAAGTTACTTCTAATATTATTATCTATAATTTTTGCTTTATGTCAAAATTTCCTGAAATGGTCCGTATTCGAGAAATTTGACAAAATGTGCAAAATTCTGATTTTTATGAAAATTGTTAAACTAAAAGTTGTTTGCGATATCGATTTCTATAATTTTTGTTTATACATGATTTTTCTAAAATGGACCGTAATGGAAAAGTGCTAAATTTAAATTTTTCTGTATTTTCGTTTTCAATGAATATCTATAGAAAAATGTTTCGAGGTAGATGTATGTGTAAAATGTATATATTTCGTTTATTCTCTAAACATTTATAGAGATGCTGCAATAGGTTGTACAAAATAACCGGAAAATGCCTATAATAACTAGATAGGAAAGTCATGTGTTGGACACATCAGATTTTTAATAATATTTTTAAAACAGCCCTGCAGAGGTCTTGCATTAGTTAACTGTTCAGTGAACATTTTTACTCGTATAATTTTGGACAGACTTACTACTTGGAATATTGTACATTTGGAATATTGTAAAACTTAGGATGAATAATTGTTTTTTTTTTATTTTTTATTTATTTTATTTTTTTTTTTCAGGGGTGTGTTTCTTTTTTTTTTCCTTTTTTGTGAAATGTATACATAATATGTATAATATACATATGTATATATCAAATGTAGGTATTATATTTATTTTTAATTTATGTGAATTTATTACTATTTACAACTTTCTACTTGTTTTTAGAAAGCAATAAAAATTATTATTATTAATAAATTAAATAGTACTGTAGAAAAACGGAACGGCAAAAAAGACGTTAAACGCGTTTTTATAAATTATTATACAATACATTTTTCGCTTTCAAAGGAGAATTCAAAAAGCGGTTTTATTCTGCTTTCCTCAGAAAATCTTCCACAATTCACCATTCTCTGACCGCTGATGGTGGGCACAGACTCGATCGTGAATTTAAAATACAGGGCGTTTCAATGCAAAATTTAATTGAATATTTAGCTTTTTTAAAATTAATTATTTTAAAATACAGGGCGATTTGATGTAGAATTGGATCGAAAATTTCGTATTGATAAAATTAAATATTTAAAAGTTAATTTTTTCCACATATGTGCTGTTTCTGTATTTTTTCTATTGTATTTTTGTATTTTTTTATATATTGTTACCTTAACATGTAAACCTTCTAACTCCATACGTAATAAAAAACCGTTTCATTTAGATATTAGAAGAAAAAAATAATTAGATCATTAGGTATTAAAGGAAGCTTTTAACAAAGACCTAATGATTTAATTTATTTTTTTTTTATTTAAAGGAAGCTTTTAATAAAGACCTAGTGATCTAATTGATTTTTTTTTCTTCTAATATTTAAATGAAACGGTTTTTTGCTTTGCATGTTAAGGTAATGATATACTTTCTTTGACTTTCTATAAACATTGTAATTCCGATGTAAAATAGTCAAATATATCTAGCTTTCTAACAAATGAAATGAAACAGATTCGTTACAACTCTCGAAAATATGTTTTAGGTAGTGGACGGTAGGCTATTGAAATCATACACGGAGGAAATTTGGAATCCGGACACGGACCTACCGGTGAATTTGATAATTGGAACTACAGCTCATTCGAGCAGCTCCGAAAAACTGTTAATGAAACACAAGCACTGGACGGAGGAATTGGTCAAGCAGCACATACAGCAATCCGTCGTATCGTCAACAGGTTAGTTATAAAAATTGGTCTGATGTTTAATAAATTTTATTTAAACAATTCTTTCAAAGGATGGCGGTGATTGTTGTTGGCGTTACTTTGCAATAAAATGTTAATTTTAAAAACACTTATAAGAAATTTTGACTAGCTCTTTGATATTTAACACTAAATATTACTTTGAGCACATTGACCATATTGTAATGTGAGCCATTTCATTATTCAGTCATGCTCTAATTTTCCAAGTCCCTCTCTGTCTTATTTGGCCTATCATACATAATTAAACCCCTTAAGACCAAACATGTGGCAACTATGGCGGAGGCACTTTCGCGAACATTCCTGAGTCATCGTGATAATGTTTCTGGTATTTTCCGGATATGAGATGTTTTGGTGGAGGAGCATTATGGATCACCAATTTGTATATAAATATTGGTGGAGGATCAACAAAAAGTCATTAGTAGCAGTTTAAAGACATTCGAAATATATATAAATTAGAATAGTAGTGTTATAAAATAAATAAGTGTTTACGTAAATTATTAATAAATAAACTGTTGTTTAAAATAAACAAGCATCGCAATATGGTTTCCTTAGTCGTGAATTCGGCTTTTCTAATAGATACTTTTGGGAAAATAGTTTCCAGTAAAGAAAGGGCGCCAATAATTCCCTTTTTTTTATTTATAGAAAGCCAGTGAGAATTATAAACTCTAGCTTTATAAAAAAAAATAATTAAAACATACAATTTAGGTAACAAAGAATTGTAACCTTTAAAAAATAAAATTCAACATATATATATATATATATATATATATATATATATATATATATATATATATATATATATATATATATATATATATATATATATATATATATATATATATATATATATATATATATATATATATATATAAATGAAAGTAATTGTATGAAAATTCAAAGAACATATTAAACTTAATCTGGTACCAACTATTTAAATTTCAAACATTAGATAAAAAATTAGCCACATGTCTAATTACCACTATATTGGTTAGGTTAGGTTCCCACTTCTTATTCTTTCTTGATATAGTTCTGCCTTCAGAAAACTGCGATATTTATCTTCAATGTCAAACATGGAAAATATTGACTGACTTGGAAGTTTAAGATGGAATGTAAGAAAATAGCTGCTTCTATTCGCTTTCTAAACAAAAAATAAATTCTGTTTTTGACGAGGCTCTTTTATGAGATGTAAATTAAATTTTAAACAATACTTTTTAAATTTAAATCAAGATAACAATAAAAACTAATTAATATAAACAATGTGCAATTTAAGCAACCAAAATGAATTACAAAAGCATATTTAATAAATTTAACTTGACTAACAACAAGTAGAAATATAATTTCTACTGTGATATTTTTTTGATGACATTTTTTAACTCACGGATGTTTACAGCTAGACACTGGTAGATAGGTCAAGATATCGGAAAATGAAATTTCAAGACACGATATCGATATCGTCTATCTACTATAATCCCACTTCACGAAATTTCCGTTTCTTGGAAATATATCGTGCGGCGATAATTAAATTTTAAATTAATCGAATACTATTTTATACAGGATGTCACAATTAAAATAACCTTTTTAAATGGAATTTTAAAATGCTATGTTGGGAATGGGGTGTTAATACACGGCCTAAAAGATCAATTGTGCCCCCTTCTGTCGCTAATGCACAAAGGAAATGTCTCAATGCCTATAATGACCCTTCCAATCCTATCTTCTCAAGGAAGTTTAGGATTTGGAGTGGCTTCAAGTTAGGTAAATCTCCCTCTTCTATTTGATATCCTCCTAGGTATAGTGCCCTTGGATTCTGGCTACACATTCAGTTATAATGTGAATGGAGATTTCGTCCTCCTCCTCACAGAATCTGCACTCACTATCCTCTACTACGCTCAGTTTACTAAGGTATCTTTTGGTCGGCAATGCCCGGTAAGGATCCCTGTTACAATAAGTAGCCTGTTCTTGCTCAAACAGATGCAGGCTTCCGATCTTTTCTGGTTATATTCACCCAGAAGTATCTTAGCCTGTCTCAGCCACCAAGGGATTGTTCCAATTATCGGTTATTCTACTGGTCAATTCATTTTTAATCTCTCCTAATTTTAAAATGTTACAATCCTAAGTATTTTCGGTGCTGAAGCTAATAAACTTTCGTCTGATTACTCCGTTCCTGATCATTCTATCCCACAGATGTATAGAACAGAATATGAGTCGGTGAAACCTTCTGATAGTGTACCAGATGTATTATTTGAAACCGATGAAGAAGATAATTCGTTGAATGAAAATGTACATTATGCGTTGCCAAGAGTACCCAAAAAAATAAATAATCAACAAAATCCAAAAAAAACCCAAAAAGAAAAACAAAAATCTACTAAAATATCTACTAAGAACAATAATAAATATTGTTTTAATAATGGTATTGTCTGTTTTCTACCGTTATAGTGATACTTTGTTTATTTATAATAAAATATTTAAAAACTGATGAGATGGCATAAGATTGGGTTAATAGTACAAGGCGAAGGCCTCAACCCACAAGTATTGTTCAAAATAATATTTAATAAGTAGGCAGCAGTCCGATAACGGAAACATGTAACGAAAGTAAAAGAACATTGACCTTGAGTTTATATACGATTTTTCTGTTTGAAAGATACAAAGCAGAAAGGAGCGGAGAGCAGACTCGATTAGAGAGGAGTATAATAGACTGGAGTTGAGTTGAGTAGAGCAGAGTGGAGTTGGGTATAGTGGAGTGGACTAAAGGGGAGCAAAGTAGAGCGCAGAAGAGTAAAGCGGAGTTTATAATGCCTAATCAGTTTCTCTCTTTTTCTTTCTATCCCTATCTGTTATTTTTCTTTCTTTCTATCCCTCTTTCAGTTATTGTCGAGGTGTCGGGATATCGAAATATGTCATCAAGGTATTAGGATATTGTAATAAAGATTTGATGTATGTTTAATAAATAAATAAATATGCTTGTAACACGGGAAAAATACATTATTTCTATTCGATTCTAGGTGAAGGCGTTTTCACAATGTACGACCTAAATTACGAGGGACTCAGCCGGATGATATCCGATATTCGAATCGTGTGTCCGTTGTTGGACCTGTCCCGTCGATTGAAATCGGTGCCGTTCTACGTCGTCACTCAGACCAGATTCGCAGAGTGCGTGGCTGACGTCGATTCCGACGTCGACGCCATTTTGGGTCGATACGAGCCCAGGACGCCAGAGCAAAGGAGATATTTTTCGGCGATGCAGGGCCTGTTTTACCATTACGTTTGGGACGGAAACATAGAACAGAACATGATAGGGCAGAGGGCGTTAATCGTCGGCCAAGACGTCCTGCCAAATTCCAGTTACTCCTGGTGCGATTATTGGACGTTGAAAAATGTCGTGCCTAAGTACGCGGTGCTCGATTAAATCAATAAGGATTTCTTAAATATGTGCTTAACTAAATCTTGTCAATATTTGTTCAAAAAATCAATACTTTACCTAATACAATAAATGGTTTACAAAAGACGTGTTATATTTTGTTTTTACACTAAGAGGAGCGAATTTAAAGGTCGCATTTACACAGGGAAAATTAACTAAAAAAAATGAGGCAGTCATTGAGGACTGCTGACAGAAGAGAAAACTTAAAACTATCAAATAAGTGAAACTAAAGTGAAACTTTTTAGACGCAACATTTTAGACATTCCGAGCAACAATTATATATTATAAATTTTAATTCAGTTTATTCATTAATATATATTGGGCTGCGCAAGCGGTTTGCATAATTAAATTCCTCTTTGAAAGGCTCTACAAAATTGTTTTTAAAAAGTCACCACTGAGTTGTCCGTAAGACCAGAAAATGGGATTTTCAGCACAAATTTGGGGGAAATTTTAACAGAAATAAGTGTTTTTCTTAAATATCATTTAAACTAGAGAGAAGTAGTTGTTAGCATAGTTGAATTTCTTTTTAAAAGCTCTACAAACTGGTTTTTTACTAATTCTTGCTAGGGTGTCTGTAAGACAAGATAATAGGATTTTCAGATTAAATTTTAAAAGAAAAATGTTTTTGTTAAGTAACTTGACTATCGTTTCAACTATTAGGAAGTGGTTTGAAAAAGTCACCACTAAGTTACCCGTAAGGCCAGAAAATAGGATTTTCAGATCAAATTTGGGGGAATTTTAACAGAAATAAATACAATATGTACAATTTTTTTCACAGGATATCCCTGAGCATTGAGGGTGAGAATATGTTCAGTTCTTTGATCAGCTCTAGCTGCAGTAACTCTAATAAGCTAAAATAGTTTTACCTTGGAGATGGCAATATTGCTAATACTAATTACATACTGGAAACAATATTGACAAAAGTTTTCTAAAATGACATCTTTCTTTCAGGACTTTGTTGACTAAATACCTTCACAACTTAATACTCCTACGATAGTTTCGTATGATTTCGGGAGATATAATTTGGGCATAGAATAATACGATTACATATTATAACTAAACATTATACTTTATTCAATGCTATACATACATAAATTGAATGTGATTATCCAAACTCTTATTGTTCTATGTGTTCCGTTAAAGTCAAATCTAGAAAATATCCAACCTGGTATTCTCATGATTTTATACTTAACATAAAATACATACAATAGGTTAATCCATGAATCCTTCGAAATAAAGATGAGATGCTTAATTTATATTTGCACGTGAGCAAAATAAGGAGAGACTCATGTGAATCGACTGCCTGTCATGACATGATTGGACAGATGTATATATTTCTACCGCACTGTTAACACATGCACTGGTACTGCTTTTAGCAAACGTTCACAAATTACTTTTTGCTGCATATACACTGCTTTTCAATCAGTAACTGATATATTATAATTCCCACAAAGAATGTGATAGCATTGATCCATCTAGGAAAAGTAGCAGCACAAGATGCAGAGATAATGTATCCAGTTTTTTCTAGTAAAATCTGAAAAATAAGTAATATTTTTTACTTTAAAGTGTCAAAATGAGGTAGGTAAATGTCTAGATTGAGTTCTTTACATTATTAATAAGAACACAAATATTTTTTTAAATAAAAATATGCCATTTTCTTCAATTAATATAATTTTTACGGGAAAGGAAGTTAATAGGGGTTCTGGGTGGGTAAAACACTGTAAATCTTAAAATATTGTTAGAATTAGAAATGAATTGCCTTACTTTTGATAAAAAATGATTATTGGATAGTACCTACCTAATCTCTGAGCTATGATTTGAGTATAGGAGTATAGGAATCATGATTTTTTCGACCTCCAGTTTTCGACGGATTTTTACGTTTTGGGGTCCCCTGAATCCGTTTTGACTATTTTCGGGATGATGTCTGTTTGTGCGCGCGCGCGGGTGTGTGTGTGTGTGTGTGTGTGTGTGTGTGTCTGTGTGTCTGTGTGTGTCTGTGTGTGTCTGTGTGTGTCTGTGTGTGTCTGTGTGTGTCTGTGTGTGTGTGTGTCAGTGTGTGTGTGTGTGTGTGTCAGTGTGTGTGTGTGTCAGTGTGTGTGTGTGTCAGTGTGTGTGTGTGTCAGTGTGTGTGTGTGTCAGTGTGTGTGTGTGTCAGTGTGTGTGTGTGTGTGTGTGTGTGTGTGTGTGTGTGTGTGTGTGTGTGTGTGTGGGTGGGTGCGTGCGTGCGTGCGTGCGTGCGTGCGTGCGTGCGTGCGTGCGTGCGTGCGTGCGTGTGTGTGTGTGTGTCTGTCTGTGTGTGTCTGTCTGTGTGTGTCTGTCTGTGTGTCAGTGTGTGTGTGTCTGTATCCACCATAACTCATGAACCGATACAAAGAAAAACACCAAATTTTAAACTTAAGGTTTATTCCTGCCTGCGGTGAACTTATTAGATTTTGGACAGAGTCGGAACATTTGGGAGGGTACTTTATTAGTGGTTATTTTTATATTTTATGAAATATATCCGTTATTTGCATTTGGAGAAGAAAATTCTTCAAATAAAAGTTACTTATAATATTATTATCTATAATTTTTGTTTTATACAAAATTTTCCTAAAATGGTCCGTATTCGAGAAATTTGACAAAATGTAAAAAAAATATTTTTTTATAAAAATTGTTCAAATAAAAGTTGTTTGTAATATAATTCTCTATAATTTTTATCCCATACATAATTTCTCTAAAATGGACCGTATTCGAGATATTTGAGAAAATGTGTAAATTTCGAATTTTGAAGAAAACTCAAAAACGGATAAAGGAAAAAACATTAAATTTTAAACTTAAGTTTTGTTTCGGCCTGAGGTGAAATTATTAGATTTTGAACAAAGGCGGAACATTTGGGGGGGTACTTTATGGGAGGCCGTTTTTATATTTTATGGAATATATCTGTTATTTATGTTTGGAGAAGAAAATTGTTCAGATAAAAATTACTTACAATATTATTATCTATAATTTTAGTTCTATACAATTTTTCTTTAAAATGGTCCGTATTCGAGAAATTTGACAAAATGTAATAAAATTCAAATTTTTAGGAAAATTGTTTAAATAAAAGTTATTTGTTATCTCTATAATTTTTGTTTTTTATGATTTTTCTAAAATGGACCGTATTGGAAAAATTGAAGGAAAAGTGCTAAATTTAAATTTTTCAGTATTTTCGTTTTCAATGAATATCTATAGAAAAATGTTTCGAGTTAGATGTATGTGGAAAATGTATATATTTAGTTTATCCTCTAAACTTTTATAGAGGTGCTGCAATAGGTTGTACAAAATAACTGGAAAAAGTCTATAATAACTAGATAGGAAAGTCATGTGTTGGACACATCAGATTTT